AAAAAAAAAAAAACCCACAAAACATTACCTCAGCCACAAAAAGCCACAGCATAATTGTTGTGCGTCTCCGAGCAAAACAGCGGTGTTTAGTTTCTGAATGAATCTGCGTTTTGCAACGAATCATGTGAATCAATGATTCAAAGAGAGATACGTTTACTGAATTCCTGAATGAATCAGCCATTTGAACGAATCGACTCAAAAAGACATTTACCGCCACCTGCTGATAGTTTTAGTTTCTTTAGAGTATCGTTTCGTTTATTAAAAAAAATAAAGAAATAAAAAAACATTAAAGGGACAGTTCACAAAAAATAAATAAATAATGTCATCATTTACTCACCCTCATGTTTTCAAACCTGAATGGCTTTCACTGCATGAACAAAAATTTCTCAAAAGTTTCTCAAATTATCTTCTTTTATGTTCCATACTTTATGTTAGGCCATTATAGCCTAAAGACTTAACATGATAATAGCTTTAAATTATTTTTGGGGGGTATTTTTACAGCCAAATTAGTTTGCACCCTGTAATTAATTAGATTATTTTTTTAATCGACAAACAGCCCTAAAAAAAATATATATATATATGTTATAAATAATTATAAATAAATATAAATGTTATAAATATATATAAAAATGTTATATCGGCCACCCTGCTCTCTAAGAAATCTGTATCGGCTATCAAAAAAAACAATATCTATTAACTACTACTTGTTACTTTTAAAATGTTATTTAAAACAGTACTTTTGTTGGTCACCTCTCTATTATGCAGAACCGCCACGGTTGGGTTCACAAGACAAATGATGATCAGTGGAGTGTAAAGGAGACATAATTTGCCAACTAAACAAGAAAGAAAACAAGTCAAACCTTTTGGAGGCAGTCCAGGATCTCTAAAGCAGGAGTAAGTACAGTAGTCTCCCAATTGGTCACGTCTGTCGCATCCAAACCGTAAACTGGTGGCACATTGCTAGCAGGTCCTGAAAATTCAGAAGACAAATTGACAAAAGACGACACCGATGAAATAGCATCTTGATTAAACTTGCAGAATAATCATGGTGCAATCTAATGGTGTGAACACCGTGTACCCAGCTGATGTTCTTGATTAAATCTAATTGAGAAAAGTTAATGTTAAATCTTAGGCTAATGAATAAATGACTTTCCTTAACTTCCAGCTTGAGTGCATTGGGGAAAACAATGGCCATGATTTGCTGGTTATAGGAGGAAAAGCTAACACACAAGGACGTAAAGTCAAAAAACTATCATAGGATCTATAAACTTGTTAATCTAACAAATTAAAAAATGTTAAAGGCAAAAGGGAAGAAAGGTACAGAATATGTCTGGTGGTGTGGTGCAGGGAATCAGTATGGAGAAGCAGGGAGGGCCTGCAGCAGCCTGAACCTGCTGAATCACTGCCGCTCGATAATCTCAAACAGCATTCTGACACTGTCAGCAGAGACGACCTCACTCTACCTCGCTCAACGCTATTGATCCACGCACAATACAGCAGACATGCACAGATAATGAGATCTGCCCATACGTTAAACAAGCAGAAGAAAGAAAAAAATGGAAGAAAATGTGTCTCACACACATAAAACAGAAAAGATTCAGTTTATTAGGGTGCTCTGGGTCCATGTCTCTATGTTATTATGGTCCCTAGATGATATTTGGGATCTAGACAAAAGATTTTGATCCCACTGTAACAGTCAATCTCTTCTCATAATTTGATGCATCATTCATGTCAGCAACACAAATGGTGCAGGGCAAGTTAGGTCCCGAAGTTCAACATTTAGGGTTGTTGTTGGCTGTACAATAACCCAACCCAATGCTTGGCTCAGTAAGAAACACTTCATGTGCTCAGAACTTGTTACAAAACACTGAATAGGCATTCTGAAATGTTGAGAAAACTTAAAATACTTTTAACACATGCCGTTGAGATACAGTCATACATTGTAAGTGGTAAACTTGCCCTCTGGAACACAGAAACCACCTTTTGTCATAATTTAAAAATCCATCTAGGGGAAAAACTCATCTTTTTCTTCAAATGAGAGGTCATGACCTGCTGTCAAGTTTTACTCAAATCCTTCAACTTCTGTAATTAGACACAATGGCCAGCAGTGTTGGGGAAGCTACTCTGAAACTGTAGCTTGACCAGCTACAAGCTACTCATAAATTAAAGTAGTTAAGCTACATTCAAGCTACCCTTCTGAAAAAGTAGCTATAGCTACATTACAAGTTACTATCAGAAAGTAGCTAGCTACATTGAAATTACTTTCAATTTTTTTTTTTTTTTTACATTTAACATTACAAATAACTGAATGATTGTTCATGAAGAATTATAATTAAGTTATAAGTAAAATATAATGAAGTTATTAGTAAGACAATCATGATTTCAAAGAGTAGGGTGAATTCAGGTTGATTGGGACACATTTTCCAAGTCACTTCAATTACAAAGAGTGTCCCAATCCTTTATTTTGTAAACTATCCGATACACACAATAATAAAATATGGTTATATAGTTACATTATCTCAAACTGACTGTCAAAGTGCAAAACTGCTACAAATGTAACATCAATGCAAGAACAAAATGTATGCAACTTAAACTGGATACGGAGGAGTCGTAAAATAAGCAGGTTAAACTCACAGCACATGCGGTATTTATTTACTGACTGTGAATGGAGCCGCTCTGAGACGTCAATCATCAGCGGTGCCCGTGAACTCTGTGCCGCAACCATCCTTTGCCAAATGATAAGCACACTACTATATCGCGATTTTATTTTCTGTTCGATTAGTGTCCATTACAAAACTGTGGGGGGACAGATTATATTATGACGGTTCATATTTGTAAAATAGACATTTGATAAAGTGCAATAAAGCAGGAAAATTAATCAGTTTAAAAAGGCTATAATTCACTTCCTGTATGTGCTCTTCGATCTCTTCTACATGCAGTACTGTGATGGCACCATGTTTAAAATGGTATCAGGCAGTAATACCAGAGTAAAAAGAACTGATTATCACATTAATGGAAAGTGGTTTTACATGGTATGCCATGTCACAGGTCCTAAAACATGGTATTAAAATTGGCACTGCCAAGGTGCGTTGTTTAAGTTTTAAAAATGAATAAAGGCAAGAACAAAAAAAGTAATTATTGTTAAAGTATTACTGCATCAGCTAAAAAAAAAGTAAATAGTGCATTTCTAGCCTTTTAAGTGGAGAAAACAACTTGCTCAGCAATTAACTAATGCAATTGGATTTGATCCAAGAAAGCTAACTTTGGTCATTGAAGTGTCACTATGACCAATTGCAGTGGTTTGGCTCAGGGAGGCTTAATTACGTCCTGATGAAGACATGAGCAGTTAAAATTTTCCTGCTGTGAAAACCAGTTTCAAAGCAGCATCTGTCTGCAGTGATATTTTTAGAGCTGCTATTTTCAAACGCTGTCTAGTTGAACTGTCAAACTACTTGAAATGACATCCTGTACTTACAAATGTTTGTTTTTCTTTGAGGAAATGTTAGTAAAGCTGGCAAACGCACACCGAATATGGAAGAGCTATCAAAATGTGTAGCCCGTTTATTAATTCTTATTACTGAATTGCACAATGGTGCTATAAAAATGGAGTGTTTGCATCCAAGAAGACAGTGACGGGTAGACGCATTGCCTCATATTTGATTTTTTTTTTTTTTTATAAGGAAGAAACCTGACCTCTTACAATGTGCAGAATGCATTTTGACAAACTACTGGGGACACAAAGTCAGCAAAGTAACACTAAGCCCTTCTCTAACAAACATGATTTCTTGTTTTTACAAAATTGCTGTACAGTTACAACTGTACCTGTACTATAATTTTTGCTGTTGAAACCCTCTTAAGAGCTTACAAGGAGTTCAGCTCAAAGAACAATGACTGAAGTAACCAATTAGCCACCAATTAAAGATACTGCTGATAATATCATCCAGCCTTCACACCTGTTTGCCTGAGGTGAATGTTGCACAAGTCCAGCACTGTTACAAAGAGAAACATGCTTAAATACTTCTTAAAAATGCAAGAAGGCTCTTAAGTTAAATAATTACTATGCAAAAGCTTGCAAAAAATTTGCATAAAATGCAAAGTACACAAATGCTGAAGATCGTTTGTAACCGTAGTTTAAAAGCTTATCACAGAAAATCAAATTCTTTGTCAAACAGTTCCTCAACGTCTGGCAAAAAGGAACCAACAGTTTCTAATTTGAGCCTCAGCCAACCACTGGACTGACTCCAAATGCAGTTTACTTCCTTATCACCCTGCGTTTGTTTACAATTAGAGCAGACCCAGATGACACCAATAAGTCTTACATAATCCTGAAACACAACAATAACAGCATCCATAATATTAAACAAGACACAATAAAATAATTAGAATAGAGAATTATAAACCTGAATGACAACCAAATAATAAAATGTGGGCATAACATATCATGATATGCATTAAAATGATGATTTAAATATACCTCAAACACCTGCTGTATCAATTTTTGTATTTTTGAAAAACTGCACTATTAAACAGGCATAGTGGCTTAAACCCACCAAATATTAATTTTGAAAAATCCAAATATAAAATCCATTACTTTCTCCCTGCAAAAAACTGAAAGTATGGATTATAATAAAGATGTTTCATGCTCCAAATGAGATACAAACAGCTTTATAGGACTAAATTTGCCTGTACATGTTTTGCATTAGCATCAAACACACAGGTGTTCCTTTACACAAGCCACCCAGCGTCCCACTTAGCTGATGTAAAGCATCTCTTTAGCCCAAACTAAACCTTGTTGCCTCTTGCTTGTAGTCGCTTCTAATCAAAGAAAGTTCTGCAATCTTTATGTCTGCTATTGTGCTTGTCAGAAAAGAGCGGCAGCAGGTGGGCCTGCACAGAGACACCTGGCCTACCTGAGCCATGTGGGGAGTGGAGGACTTTGTTTTTTTGTGCATTTATGTACCTCTTTAAACCTCTCTCTCAGGGGTATAGAAATTAGAGGGAACAGGGCAAAGATGGCCATCTGGGGGTGAACAGATGCTGAACTGAGGTCTCTCCCTCCCGCCCAAAATTAAAATCTCAGTGAAATCTAAGTCAAGTAATATTGCCGGACCTGAATGGTGGAAAAAACGAGAGAACAAGGGTCTCTAACCACAGAGATCTCAAATATCTGCCTCAATGAGGCGCCGCCTCTCCAGCGCACCCACGGCAGATAGCCGCATGGCTGCCGTCTTGTAAAATGTGAAAAGACCCCTCGCTCACCAACTGGCATATCCTCTAGAGTCTCCGAAGACATAGGCATCAGAAAACACACCGAGCAGTCACACCTGCTGCTGTTTGTGTGATAAGAGAGCCTAGGGTAGGAAAGGACGATGGAGTAGATATGGATTTCAGAGCAGGACACCTGTTGGACAGCTGTAGGACTTTGTCAGTCAATTTTGGACATTCCGAACAGGAAGTGAGGGCTAAGAGAATGAGTGGCCGACAGCTGTAACCATTAGACTTCCAGCTGTAGGTTGCAGAACACCTCAACAGCTGTGTTTTTGCATCTATCATCTCTTAATCTCATTTGCTAATACATTACATGGCCATCCTCAGTATTTCTCTGTACGTCCTTTCACAAGTTCATCAACACACGTTTAATGCACACAAAGGCCTGTATGCAAGCGGCTGGCAGCAGTCTTCCAGCGGGAATGTATTGTGGGAGTATGGGGCGTGTCCTGAGGTGTGCGGAGTGTAAGGGGACACTTTTCTATGTCGCACCTGTTGCGCATCCCACTCAGGTTTCCCCTATCGTTGACAAAAGGCAAGAGACTGTTATTTAACGCTCACGTTGCCTCCCAGAGCCGTCAACTGAGCCGTTGTCACAGTTACTTTCAAGCCGCTCGGCGCAATCTCCCTGGGGAAGCACAGACGGAAACGGCGCTCAGGTTCACCCTAATCTCAAATTCAGCTGTTACACTGTCAACAGTAGGGTTCAAACGGGCACAACTCTACAAGGAAGCGTGCTGACTATTTGAGCTGGCAACTGGCTGCAAATCAATTGATTTTCATAAGGGGGGCATATCACAAGAATGACTTTTCCAAAGAATTTTTGACTGCTCTAAGAGTGATATTCCCTTCTTGGGCCAACAAGACCAATATACCAAACTGGCCCATACATATCAGCTTAGATCTTAATTCACAAATAACCAACAAATTAAATGAAAAAGGAAAGAGGAATTGTTGATCACCTCGTAGAGGCCAGGAGGACAATGAACCCAAGTTTGCCCTCAATGACCCCACAGTCCTTATCTCCAAGAGGCCACACCACAGACTCCAACCTCCTGCCACCAATCTGAATTCCTAGCAGTACACTAATGCCTGCAGGATTAGACCGGTCAGCTGAGGGCCCCATGAGGCCCTGGGATGCGTGGGGTGCGGAGGGAGGGATCATTTAGGCCACTGACAGGCAGCCACAGGAGCTTAACCAGACCAAAAGCAGGTCAGAGTCCAGCAAAAAGGGTGAGAGAGTGGTGGGGATGAATGCAAGGGGTTCAACGAGGATGAAACAACCTTGAGTTGCAATGACTTGAGGCCCACTGGCCTGGTGAACCTTGTTAAGTAAGGCAACAGTAAAAGTTGACCCAAGAGTTTAGCTGCTTCTTAGAAATCTAATAGCAGCGTTGTAGCACTCTCACTCCAGACAAGACTGGACTCTGACTCAAATCTGTCTCAAGTTCGAGTTCAAGAGAAGAACTGGTCTCGACTAGTTATAGAAAAAATGGTCTTGAACTTGAGACCGACTGGCTAACAGAGCTGTTAAAAGAGGAAATGTAGAGATACATTTTGCTTGCTTCTTATGTAATTATTTTCTCATGTAATTAGGATGGCAAAATTATTGGTAAACTGCATAGACGGAGCAGAAATATACCACACTACAGGACTGATCACTGATCAAAGCAACAGACCATCTGGTGAAGATGAGGCTCTTCATATAACTCAAGGGATGAAGAGAAGCCGTAGAGGAAGGCCACGTTTACAGACATCTCACCTAAAGCCAGCTGCCCTTGTGTTTAGGATCTGGCTGCATATGGTGGGACACAAAACTACTCTTAATGAGGGCTAGCCACTGTCTCTGCCTAATCTCATTAGGGCTAACAGGATTGCTGGATTGCCTCTGTTGGGATGGGGAGCAAGGGGTAATCCAGTCTAGGATCCTCAGAAACCAGGGTCAGAGTCCAAAGGGAATGCCCGGATAATGTTGTGAGGAACAGCAGAGGCGGTGAAGGTCAAAGACTCATTTAGTGGAAATCCAAGGTATATCGAAGACACTGGTTTGGTCAAGGTTGAAGTGCTTACAGGAAGCAGTGTAAGGTACATGAGGAACCCAAGCTGTACTTGGCGTGTTCATGAGAGTACATCAGAGATGTAGCAATGTCCAATTTATGAACAAATCATTCAAGTCAAATCTCGTATAAATAAAAAAAAAATGGTCTGAATAACTCGTTCACAAATTGGAACGTACAAGTTCTCAAGTTTAAGTCAAGAAGGTTTGGAACAACATGTGACAAAATGATTATTTTTGGGGAAATTATTTATTTAAAGGGGTCCTATTATGCTTTTTCACTTTTTGAATTTTAGTCAGTGTGTAGTGTGTATGTTTGGGCATAAAAAAGATCTTCAAACTTACAAATCTCAAAGTCCATTCCAAATGGAAATATTTCGTTTTTAAAAAATCCCTTTTCAAGAACTACAACGAACGGCTCGTTTGGACTACAGCGCTTGTTTTCCGGGTTTTGTGATATCACAAAGCGGCCCATTACGTTGTACAGTAAGAAAGTTATTTCCCTTAACCAGGAAATTAACGTTCTTAGAATTGACAGACAGTTGACCCTGAAAGGTGGTGTAAATATCTACAGCGGATCTAAATATTTATAATTAATTATAACTAGTTATGATTAATTATTCATATTTCCCCATGAGCTGATTCGCTACAAAGGTATTGTAATAATGTAAATTATGTAAAAAATTATGCGTTTTCGAACCACCAAGCATGAGAGCATGTTCTAGTACACCCCCAAAACAAATTCAGGACATTGTAAAAGAGCATAATAGGACCCCTTTAAAGCTTTTATACACAGAATGAACTATTGCACTCTTTCTGTGTTATTTTTTACATTTTTCATCTATGTACATATGCATCAGACAGACCACTGTGCCACTTTATAATGTTTTTTCAGCATCTCTCTCTATGAGCATAGTTAAAATTAGTTTATCTTTAAAGACCCCACCCTTGGGACCCTAACCCTAGCTGTTTCTGCATACACCAAGACATAACCTATGTGAGCGTCCCCTGTGCCACATGCATACACACCCTCCTTTTAACTTTACAGCTTTTATTATGCAAACAACTAATAGTGCTTCACTCGTACATTCTTCATTCTATAAAGCGTCCTTCACTTCCTTTCTCTAGATAAACTTCACACCCTGACGTCACCAGCACACACATATACACACAGCTGTTAATCCATTGAAGAGTTCGCTGATTCAGGCTGTTGTCTGTTAGGAAGTAAAAGTACAAACCGTTCAGACTGACCGTGTCTTGAAACACCCAAGCTTTACAAGCATTTGATCTTTTATCAACCAAAGGCCGGTAAATACTGAACCCTGAGCCTTGGAATTTTGAGGCTGTCTGTAAGGGAGGGGTAGCCTTCAAACACACACACAGTATTTCTACACAAACGTTTGTGTGTTTAATGGTCTGTGTGAAGTCCATCTCGTTAAAAAATGGCTGTGATTACCTGATCATTGGACCGTACTGAAAGAAAACGAAAAATATGCACACATACATAGCTCCAGTAACCTCTGAGGGCAACTGAAGCCAATATACAATAGACAAGCCACGAGTGAAGCCAACATATAATGCACACCAATGAATTCAGAATTGAAAAGAGTTAACTGCGGCTACAATTCCCTTGAGAGTAAGTGTGATCCAAATTAAAGCCAGTGGCTACGATGCACTCTGAACTAGCACAGCTGTGGTGTTACTTAGCATCCAGCAGCAGAGACCGTACCTCACAGACCATTAAACTCTCAAACACAAGCAACAGGATGGAAAGGGAAGGGGGACTCACATTAAAGGTTTCATGCATGAATTTATTCCAGGGATATTATGGCTGGAATAACCTGCAGTTTGGTACCATTTGGGGATCAAATAAGCTGCCTTCTGAACTTGACCACTACACCACACCAGCACCCAAACTAAGAAAAGTGTGTGTAATCAGTGAGACTTACTCTTGAGGAATCGGTTGCGGACCCATTTGTTCTGTTTTCGAGCGTAGCGGCGGGTCACCTGCTTGAGAGACTCGATCCCTGTGAGAGGAGGAAATAACGAGATCAATATATGATGGTGACACCAAATACTATGTGAGATGTTTGTGGGAGAAATCAAGTAAAAAGAAGTCATGCACGATGGGTTTACTGACACAATTTTAAGTGCTTAATAGCAAAACCTAGAGGACGATGGGAAGAGGAAGAGGCAGTTCCATTAAAACCCTCAGCCGCCCCCTCTCAATCCACTTCCCCTTCAGTATATCCTCTTACCACTGGTGCCAGAGCACATTGGACTGCGTCTATGTACAAAGACTACACAATTTTATGATTTTCAACAAATATTGGGATTACATTTAACAGGACACTTCAACCAAAACTATTCACTCAATATTCGCTCATCATTTTTGTACTTTGAAAGTCCACGCCAACAAAACTTTCATGCATCAAAAACAACAAAAAAGACCTTGTAAAAATAATCCATTTGAATCAAGTGGTTTAATTCCTGTCTTCTGAAGAGACACAATTTGCTTTATTTGATGAACAGATTTATTTATTCACATATAAACACTGATCAACGCACATACATTGAGCACATTTGAGCTTCAGATACTTTTGAGCTTTTTGTACCTTTCGATGCATGAAAGATTTGGTTGAATTGAAATGAGGGTGAGTAAATTATCCCTTTTTTGTGTGTGAACTATCCTTTTAACATCTTGCACTGCTAGTGCAAAAGTTAGTATTATCATGCAATATTAATACATTTGTATTAATTTCTTTTAAAAACAGCATTGCTAGGTGGTCCAGATAAACCCTAAAGCTTTTATTTTGACAGACATCTGCACTTTTGTGTACAATTTTCTTATTGATCTCCTCATTCCAAATTAAATATCCACCTCCTCTGTCTACACAACTATGTGTCATCATGCTATGTTCAATTTTACAGTAACCTGTGACACCAAAAGCTGAAATGATTGCATCACGAGCCCCTCGTGTGTTTGAAGTATGTGTAGTAGACAACAGAACAGAGCACCACCCCTTCAGTTTGAGGCAAAGAAAAAAATGCAGACTTCATTAATCATTTTAAAATATCGTAAAATTTCATTTATTCCTGTGATGACAAAGCTGACATTTCAGAATCATTACTCCAGTCTTCAGTTTAAGATAATCCTTCAGAAATCATTATAATATGTGACCCTAGACCACAAAACCAGTCTTAATTAGCATGGGTATATTTCTAGCAATAGTCAAAAATATATTGTATGGGTCAAAATGATTGATTTTTCTTTTATGCCAAAAATCATTAGGATATCAAGTAAAGATCATGTTCCATGAAGATATTTTGTAAATTTCCTACCGGAAATATCAAAACTTAATTTTTGATTAGTAATATGCATTGCTAAGAACTTCATTTGGACAACTTTAGAGGCGATTTTCTCAATATTTTGATTATGCATGCATAAATCTCTCTTCTTTTTTTTTATTGACCCTTACGACTGGTTTTGTGGTCCATGGTCACATATGCTGATTTGCTTCTCAAGAAACATTTATTTTTATTGTCAATGTTGAAAACAGTTGCTGCTTAATATTTTTGTGAAAACCATGAAATTTTTTTTTTTTTTTTACCAGAATCCAAATGCAGGTCCAAATGCTCTATCAGATCCCAAAGCAAACAACAAACAGTGCTAATATACACTAACTGTGTACTGTAGTACTATCAAATAATCATAATTCTAACCTTTATCTCCACACCGAAATCTTATTTGGCCAGACAGGGGTTTATCTTGAATCTAAACTCTTAAAATACTGGTGTCTGGGCTCACAGACAGCGGCATCCATGCAAAACATTAATACAATTCACAATCCATCATATAAACATTAGAGCAAACTAACTAATCCAAGAGCAGCATTGTTGACTTCATGGCCTATTGACAAGTCAGTAATGCTCAGAGCACTCAACACAAGCAATCCGCACTTATGAGCTCTCAGCAGACATGAGCACCATTATGAGTGCTGCAACTTTCATGCTTAGCATGCCGGTAATTGATCTTGACACCAATCCAACTGACTGACAGAAAGAGAGAGAGAGACGTCTCCCTCTCTACAGCCCCTCAGCAGCTGTTAACAGAGACTGAGAGCGTTCTGTCTTAAACACTGAATGTTTTAGACATCTGATCAGAGTTCAACACCACTGCAGCGATCAATCGCCTACTGAAAATCAGAAGACAACCCCTGTTTGCTAAATAACAGGACTGTCAATCTATTACCAGTTTTACGTAAATTAGTTATGCTGGTTAATCAAATAATTCACATATTGGTATTTAAAGAAAATGCTCCAAAATGAAGATAAGTCAAAGACTTTGTGTCCCCTCTGTACTATTTTAATAGGTTTGTTTACACATGCATCAAACATGTTGGCATAATCATAAGTAATCATTACTGTAATGAGAATTAATCACCAGCTATTAATAATGGACAAGTACAATAAACTAGGGCTGCCACTAACGACTATTTTTATTTCGATTAATCTATCGACTAATTTATATATTAATCGATTAATCTAAACGATTCATTTCCCACACGCAAAAAAAAAACAATTTTAAAGGACATTTTATTAAACTTGCAACTTTGCCATTCAGTAGTGTACCATAAAAAAAGTGTAAATGTAAACAAGCCATTGACGAAATGTAAAAATGTAAACAAACCTAATAAAAATGAAATAAAAAGAAAATAATTACAAAAGTCTGAGAAAATCAGCATGTTCTTAATGTCAATATATCCACATGTTCTGTGCTTCTGTTCATTACAGCTGTGAGTGCAACTACAAAAGGGGGAAAAAATCTGTTTAAATTAACCCCAACAGTTGGGTTTTCACATTAAATAAATGCAATGTTTAGAGTCCACTAGAACCAAGTATTAAAATGTTATTATTAAAAGTTATTATTATTAAAAAAAATTTAACAGATTTAAACAGACATCTCCAGCATGATGAAAAAAATGGGCTTCAGTAGTGAAACTCCAAATGAAATCCAAATTTCTATGAAATCCTTTTTTAAAGCAAAAGTAAAGTGCAACAGAGAGTGCAAGAAGCAAGTGTCCATCTCATAGTCCAAATCACTGAAATCAAAGTTCAGTATTATAGTGTAAGAATGACACACGTGTTCTGGTCTACTAATAATAAAATATAATTAATAATTAATTTTTGTGGTAATAAAAATAGATGTAGGCTAAGTGAACAATAGCCTTTAAATTTATTTAAAATACATATAAAATATCAATGAGGCAATAATTAGTTCAAATAAAGTATCAAAAGCAAGAAATCATATAGTTTTATTGAACAAATCTGTTAAAATACTGTATTATAATGTAATAGAGCCACTGATCTATTTATAATAAAAAAATAATAGAATATAATCTCTATTATAGATCAGTGAATAGAGCTAATGTACAGTACGCATTACAACAAAGGCCTGTAGGGGGCGCCAACGGCCTGACGATTATTTTTACACATTGCTGTGCGATCTAATCCTTATTTAATATTGACCAAGCACCATTTAATTCAAATGCCCACTTAATCTTTAATATTTGGCCATTTCTTTAGGACAGAAATGCTATAGCCACTGTAATTAAATGAATATGTGGACATCAAAACGTGTAAACAAGTGAGGGTTTGAGCTTTTATTTTGAAACCGCGAGATAATGATGTATTCTCCTGTGTTTGCGTGGATTTATAAATGATTTACCTTACAAATCTTATGAAATGGCGCACGTTGCGTTCCCAGATTAACGTTATAATAAACCCAAACTCACAACAACATGCACAGATGGAGTTTGAGCGGCTCCACACATGTAAATGATATCAGCTCCTGTGGAACAGCATTTACTGTGAACGGAGCTGCTGTGAGATGCACGTACGTAACGTACAACGGCTATAACGGCATTGCATATAATTATTTTATTAAATCGTAGCGTTTGTGAATTCACATTTATGCTTAATTATGATTTTTAAACGGGGTTAATATATCATGCAGCCTTGGAAAACAGTCTAATAATGTGTTTTATGGATTCTCGTCCGTGAAATGCGCCACTTCCGGCATTTTGCCGGTTAGTCGACGCAGGCAAAATGAAGTCGAGAATTTTTTTAAATCGAATAGTCGAATAGAATCGACGAATCACGACAGCCCTACTACAATAAACGTGTCTGATGGTGGTAGTGATATTTTTGTATTACAATGATAATGTAATGATAATTTGAATCCCTGCTGGAACTGTTTTAGTTCATTTAAGAACTAAAAAAAAATCTTCCTGGAAGAGCATAAAATGCTTTCAGAATGAGGGTCTGAGTTAGTGTTTGCTCTCTTTTGTGTGAAGTCAGCAAAGGTTTCATAACTGTTCTCATGCAGAAAAATTTCAAGAACATCAACATTCTCACTCTGTGTTCATTCTCAAGGCCTGAACTGACAGCTGTTTATAGTTTAACAACAAAAGATTGAAGACATTCAAGCTCAAGCAAAATGAGGTGAATGAATGCTTACCTTTAATCTTCAGTTTATCACGTTCTTCCTGACTGACGTTCTCACTTGCTGTCAGGTACTCGTGAAACTCTTTAAAGCCAATAGACTGGAATATGCCATGCTGATAGTCCTGACTGCAAACACGGAGGAGAAAACTAAATTCCTTATGTACACCAAATTACCATTATTCATGCACAAAACTGAAGAACAATACTAGATTTTTGAATGCTAGAAAGCTCAGGGTTTTCACCAGGGTGTTGTTAAGCAGTTGCTAGGATAATATAATACTGGTCAAAGTCAAAAGTGCCACATTTAAAGGGTGAGTTCACCCAAAAATGAAAATTAGGCTGCGTTTTACTCACCCCCGAGGCATCCTAGGTGTATATGACTTTCTTCTTTCAGACGAATCCAGTCGGAGTTATATTAAAAATTGTCTTTGATCTTTCAAGCTGTTTAATGCCACTCAGTGGGTGTTGCATTGCTTCAGTATAAAAGAACTTAAATAAAAAAATAAAAGTCTCACATGGCTCCGGGGGGTGAACAAAGGCCTTCTGTAGCGAATCAATGCGTT